CTGCGCGCAACCGGCACAGGCCCGGTCCGAGGGCCCTACCCACGGAGGAGAGCGAGAGCAGTGTTGGGAGTCTGAGACGAATCCCTGGGAAGCTGCGGGCAGAGCGTATTCCCAAATGCTGCACGCAAGCTTTCAGCTTCGCTACGGCAAACGCGGAGCGCTGCACCACAAACGTGCTGTTGGAGACGGGCACGCAGAGATGCTCCTCCGCTTGTATTCCAAGCAAATGTGTCAGTCCCGGTGCAGCTCCTGGTGAAGGTGCCGCCTGGCACCAGGTAACCAACACTGAGGAGACTCTGCTGCCCCTGTCTCGGTTTTGCAAGGACACACAGCCGAAACAAATTTGGGAAGTGCACAGAACGAGGTCGAGGCCTGTCTTTGCACCTTACCAGCCAACAGCTAATTGAGATGATAAAATAACACAACTTTAGTATCTTATACCTGCTCTAAAGATTGGCATGAAACGTATCCTTACCACAGAAACAGCTGAAAGGATGGAAGTATGTTTTTGCTCCACTGAAATATTTAAACATCCACAAAAGAACTTCACAGAATCTTCCTTCTTTTACCAGGTTTATCCAGGAATTAGCATCGACCCCAGCACGGTAACACTGCAGTAAGGCCAAAGTGCATATTGTGCTTGACTCCAGGCAAGAGACACCTTTTGCCTGCACCTTCACACAGCTCAGGCTGTGCAAAGGTCCTGTATTATTCCAGCAGAGCTTTCTCATGCTTCTTACCACCACAATCCACCTGAACTCCACTCCTGGGCTGACTTAGAAATGGTACATAAACTGCTGAACATTCAGAAAAAAAACTTCAGCAAAAGCAAATATGATTTCACATGTACCAAAGTAATTTTCAGATTGTTAGCTAGGTTAAAGAAAAGCAGTTTGCCACATAAAATTCAGTAGGCTAACAAGACATCTTCAGAAATAGTGTTTACCCTGGGAACTGAGAACCAATTATTGCTGTGCTCAATAAATCAGTTCCACAATAATTTGGCAGACTTACTGGAGCAGCCAGTTTTATTTGGACTAACAATACCTACAGAAGTTAGTATTATTTTTAAGATATTAGTAAAATTTCATCACCAAGCAGCAAAACTTGGAAGTCAGGTGCCGTATAGAATCTCTTTTTGTTACTGCAGTAGGGCAAGTGCTGGTCTCCATGAGGCTCTGGTAAGAGGAACTCACTTGGACATTCCAAGTGTATCCAGGGAGCTGCTGTAAGGCTGGGGGTTGTGTCAGCTGCAGCGAGTCAATAACGAGCACACACAGGACTGTACCGGAAGGCTGGACACAACAGGTCAGTTTTTTATTAACCAAAAGTGAAGCTGAACCCCAGAGTGGTTTAACTTGTTAAAACCATTATGTATATATGGCAGATATTTTTCTTTCATGTTCAACACTACAGTGCAAGAACCAAACTTTGCAGCTGTTCATCCTTTGAGAATCAAGTAGTAAAATGAATTAAAATAAGGGTCCCTCAATGAATCAATTTTTTAAAAAAACAAAAACATTTAACTCAAAAGAACAGACCAATTTTAAGAACTGTCTTATTAAATTCTCCCAAGTGAAAGACCTTTAAAAGCACTTGGAGCCTTGAGGTAGCAACTTTATGCAGAATTTAATTCCCCTCCTGCCCCACAGAGGAAAATTAGTAGCACATTATTAGCTCCAGCCAGCTAAGCTGCGTTGAGTGTCTCCTGTGAGGTGACTTTCTCTTGCCTCTTGAAATAGCAGTGTAGTGCTGCAGAACGCCAGGAGGAAATCCACAGGGAAGGCCTCTTGAAATAAAATTTATGGTTCGAAAAAAGTTTAAATGATTAGCAACAACTGTAACAACAAAAATTACCTGAAGTGAAAAAACCCAACGTGTTTGTATTTTGGCAAGACTGGTTTACAAATACAAGAACAAGAGTCTGCTTTCAGCCAATGGAAAAGAAAGAATGGAAGTGACATTCAAAGGGGTTTTGGGGTTTTTTTGCCCTCTGTGCAAAATTGCACTTAGTTTTTAAAGTTTTATTTTAAAGTTTTAAGTTTTGCACTTCTGTTTCTAAGAAGAGAGCACATCTGCTCTTTTTTGTTTTTACATTTTCAAACCTGTGCTGTGACATTAGACAGAAATACCAAGTGCCAGGATATTTAACCACTGAAAGCTCCTCTCACTGACTTCACAACAATCACAAGCAGGGAATCACAAACAGGAGATTTGTCTTCCTCTAAGCCTCGAAAACAGGATCCTCTGTGCCCACTTTGCTGCTGAGTTGTTTTATTAAAAGTAAATCTCTCTTTAGTGCCAATTTCAGAGACTCAGTAGCAGATTAACTGAACACTGAGCAGTAACAAAACACCTGGGCTTACCCTCTGCAACAAGTGCAATAAACAGAGTGCAAAGGAACGAGCTGAGATGTAGGGATGGGGCAGATGGTCACAAACAGGTGCTGCAGTCGCTCCCTGAACTCGGTATCAGCACTCGCACATGGTCCAGTTTTGCTCTCTGCTGGTGCTCTAACCAGATTCCTGGCAATATTGAGCATCTTACTAAAGCTTCTTTCATTACCTTCATGCTCCAAAACTGTACAAACAGGTTGGTTAAACTAGACAAACTAATCAGGCACATTGCACATTATAGTTCTTAAACGGATGAGCCTTCTGAGCAGTTCATTCTCTTTCAGCTCAAAGTCAGCTGCCTCTATACCACAGAATGATGCTGCACAGACCCTGGATGCAGGATGGCATTGCCCAGTATGCCATTGCTCCAGGGAGCCCAGAGAACAGTAAAACTTCAAAAGCTTGATTTTGTTCATACAGGATCCCAATCTTTTGATTTTATATGCTCGTATTTTCATTTGACTTTTAGAAGCCATCAAATCCTGCCTTCCAGGCAGAAATATCTCAAGAATCTGACATCAGCCTTGCCTGGGTTTCAGTTAAGTTTTGGAACAACTGCCTGTGTTGAGGTTACAGTCCTGTCCTGCACAGAACCAAAGGCATTAAGAACCAGAATCCATCTGTAAGGCAGCCCAACCTGCCAGGCTCCTCTAGATAAATGAGAGGATATTCTGCCTGGGAGCAACGAAGGCCAGCTGGTGATTATTCACAGCAAGTTTCTCTTTAGCTCATATGACAGTTTAGGCAGCACAGAAACTCAGGCTGGCTCAGAGACCAGTTCATGTTGGCTCACAGGACAGTCACAAGTTGGCTTCAGAAACTCTCTTTGTCATGGAGCCCAAAGTATTTTAAAGTTATATCTGCTATCACTGCAAGGAATTGATGAGTGGGGTTTTTTAAATTTTTTTTTCTTCTTTTTTTTTGTTTTTGTTTTTGTTGTTGTTTTGGTTTGGATTTTGTTTGGTTTCTTAAATTCTGTGATGAAAACTATTATTTCTGTCTTTGGTGTT